GCCCAGACGAGTGAGACACATTGTGTTGCAGCATATTAAATGCACATGGAGGAGCTTATTACCATAGCTGAGCCTTGTTAAACGTATAGAACAGTTATAGCAGCAGATGAATGGACTCATTGTTGGCTATTACTGTAATCTTTCGAGCCATGTTTCTGTCTTACACTTGGTGTGTCTCTCTCTGTCTGTCTTTTATTTCTGTATTGTTCAAACAAAGGTCAATGTGCATAGATACAACAGCAACACACTGACACATATCAGAGAGGCTCAGTATGCAATAACGAACATCACTGTTGCTGAAAACAGGGTAAACCTGACCACTGCAAGGTCACCCTAATTTTACAGCTACTCTGAAAAGAACTGAGCTGTGGTTGTATGTGTGAGTGTGTGTGGGGTCAGTTGAAACCCAATTTCAGGGCTTTCCAGGAGCTACTCATTGTTTGGAAAGTAGAGAACTCGAGAGGGCTATATATAGACTGTACTTGCAAGTGTGTGTGTGCATGCATGTGAATTTAGTTTCAGCCATCTGAGTGTGTGTTTAGTGTGTGTCACATGTACTTACCTAGCCCTGTATAAAGTAGTGCATGGGGGATGGGGGGTGCCCTTGTAGGTCACTTGCGCCCCATGTGCTAAGGCTTACCACAGCGGGCCAGGTTCGATTGCATCCCCCCCGCTCTTTGCTGCATCTCTCTCCTCCGGTTTCCTGTCTTTCTTAAGCTGTCTCTGTCCAACAAAGGTCTAGTCTGAATATAAACTGCACCACAAAATGGTTTGAAGACAGTCATAGGACAGGAATCGATGGTACAAAAACATTTTCTTAATAAACTGTGTGAACTTATCCCATTAGTGACTCAGTTAACAAGCTTTTCAAATGACAGATAGCAAGCTTGCTAGTTTTGTGAAATTTGACTTCTTCATTAACTCTTTATTGAATGACATGATGTACAGTCCTGAGAACAATATGCCACCTGAGTAACTAGCCCAGTACAGAGAAAAAAATATCGCCTACGTAGTTCACCAACTAGCCTCTGGAACGGCACATTTCACAAAAATGCAAAACGAGACCAAAGCAAGCAGTTGTTTCACAGAAAAAGAGATTGAACATTTGTTTGATTCATTGAATCCTAGCAATAACCACATACGTCAAAAAAATACAAAGCTAAGTGTGTTAGATAGGTTGGGCTTAGTGTTTTTCCGTTAGTTTGTCGCCCATTGGTACAGAAGGTTAGACTTCAAGGCAACAGCAAATTTATATGTTATGTAATAGACCTATATGCAGTTGCTGACTTGTTCAAGGTGATGCAAATAATGCTGTTACAGCTGTATTGTATAGCTTATTGCAAATGAATTGCTTTTTTACATTGTCTTGAGAAAACATAAATAGTTTTCCTCTGTTCTCTGCCTGCTTTGCAGTTTACCATCCATTCAAACGTCAGGTAGTCTGCAGCATGCACATATATGACACCATGCAGCAATGTTTTGCAGAGTGTTACTGTTCACAGGCTGAGCCACGCATGAAATCTACAAAAACTCGGTGGCTGTGTTTGCTTTGTGTGACAGTTTGTGTGGCTGCCTCGAAGCCTTTTTCCCACTGCGAGAGCTGCTCCACTGTACTAAGTGTGTCAACAATACCAGCTGAGAGGCAGCCTTCAGTCCACACACTCCGACTGCAGAGTAATCCTTAAAAGAGAGAAACCGGGAGAAAGGGAGGAGGACAGGGTGGGAGGAATAATGCGAGTATGTGGAAAGTGGAGGGATAGAGGTGAAAAGAGCAAGAGATTGAGCGATGGTGGAGTCGATTTGACAGTGAGTGAGAGAGGGAAAAGAGAGGAAAAAACGTGATTGCCAAAGAGAGAGAGAGAGGGAGGGAGAGAGAGGGAGAGAGAGAGAGAGATTTCAGTGTTTCAAAGGATTTCCCTATCACAGTCTCTGACACATTACATACACAGCTCACTATCGGCCCGACCCTGACAGCTGCACAAATTGGCTGAAAGAGGTTTCCTGGGCAAGGCCTTTGATCAGGTGTGTGTGTGTGTGTGTGTGTGTGTGTGTGTTGTGTCAGCGAGTGAGAGGAAAGAGAGAGATTTTTTACATTTGTGCATACCTGGACATCTAAGTCTGTGTGTATGTGTGAGTGAAAAGGGCTCTTTTGTGCTCCGAGTCATGGAGGAATGATATTAGTGCAATAAGGCTGACAGTGTGTGTGTATGTGTGTGTGTTTGTGTGTGAATAAATACTGTCAGTGTTGTTTTTGTGTGTGTTTATATTGCATGTACCGGCATTGTGTCTTATCTGAAGCATGTTATAGCTTTTATTCTCTTTCGCACGGAGCCTGCTGTCTTTTATTTGTATCTGACGCTTCCTGTCAAACATGTATCCATGTTATTTTTCAGAGGTGGTCAGTAAACAAACCCATTGTTAAAAGGCTCATAGCAAATCAGCCCCAAGCACAGTTCAGGCTTTGAAGCAGTGAGGTTTTTATTATCATGATCACAGAGACCACATGAAAACACACACATGCACTTCTCAGTACATATCGCACACCGCTGGGCACTGAGCAACTTCTCTGGAGGAGTCTTGAGTTTTGATGCGTTGCTCAGTGTGTCTGTTTTCTAGCAACTGAAAACCTGTCTTAAATAAGAATTTAGAATATGAGAGTTAACCTTTTCTTGTCACTTCTTACAGTCATGATATGGACAAAACACAGGGGGCTGCATTGGTGGCTGTGTAGGTGAGACAATGAAACATGATCCAGGAAGTCCTGATTGAGTAACAGATTTGATTTGTTCAGGGGCTTATCAGACAGCAAAACCCTGCACTGTTTGTAATACTACGTAGGATTGTCATTTTTTCTTTAAAAAACTCTGGAAAGTTATCCCAGCAACAACTGTTGTATCTTTTGTCACAAGGTCAACAACAAGAATATTGTGTTCATGTTACAAAGGAATCTACAAAGTAGGAATGTACAGTTGTATGTATTTGATTGATGGCTGATGTTATGTTATTGCAGCAACAGTTGAGCCAAGTTCAACTTGCAACTCAGTGTTGTTTTTCCAGACCCTATGTTGGTACCCCCACTGTGACAATGGACTTGCTCAATTCAAATGAATGAGAGGGCTGTATTTTCTCACCCAGGGCTCAAGTTGGCCTGAACATAAACTTAGTCTTGTTTGTACACAAATAACAAGTTTCAGGAATGAGGGAACCTTGCTGTCTGTTGCCAAAATGTTTTAGTTTTTATTAATAAATGACCTAAAGCATTAACTAATGTTTTATACATTTTTCACATCTGTATTGTCAGTAGCATGCAGACCCAGGGACAATATTTTCACAGTGAATACAGTATTGGGAGATGTTTCGGGAAAAAATACCAAACTGCAAATGTAAGGGCTCTAGGAGACAGGCAATATAGAGTAGGATTCATCCCAGCCGTTAAAATAAAGTATTGCCTAGTGTAGGCTTTTTTCATCTCTGTATTCTGTCCTGTTTTTGTTGAGGCATATAGGCTCATTCTGGGCTGTTAGTGTAAAGCACTGGCCTGTAAATGACACTACTCCACAGGCACCATCTCCTTTTACTGCTGCATGTCTGCCGTGCATGTGTTGAATCCTGTTAGCGCGGCCTTTCTGAGCTGACAGCATGCTTGTGTGTGTGTGTGTGTGTGTGTGTGTGTGTGTGTAGGTGTGCGCCAGGAATTTTGTGTCAGTTGAGGGAAGTACAGGTAATGGATTAATATCAGAGCTGGCGAAGGCTCCACATCGCTGTGTGGTGACAACCTGTCATTATCACAAACACCGGCTCACACACACAGGCTCAAACACGCTTGCTAGCATTTGTCTACACACGTGCACATACATCCGCTGAATACAGTACACATCCAAGCTCATTCACTTCCACCTGTCATTCACCCTTCTCTCCACTTTCTTTCCATGTCATTCTCACATGTCATTGTGGCACACAGTAGAACTGTCCTGATCTTCTCAAAGTGCAGTGGAGTCTTGAACCAGTTCCCTACAGTGGGACCAATGCTGAGACCAGATTTCTTCGTCGAGCCAGCGTGGCTTTTAGCTCCAAACATCAAAGAAGGAGACACAGTGTTTTGAACGCTGTTGTCATATGAGCCATCTGGCTTGTTTACTTCCTCCAAACTTAACCTAATAGTTAGCCTAAGGCAGGGGGCAGGCAGGGATGTGTGTGCACTCTGAAACCATCAGTTCCAAGGACTCATTAATCCTCACACTCGCCTTCCTCCCTGCCAGAAATGGTCATCTTATTAAGTCATTTAGTCAGCATTGAGCTGTGTAACTGGACAGTGCAGGCTGATAGGAAACATTTGAGTAAGTTGACGGTGACACAGGGCCCAGGCCTGGATTAAACCCGGGATGGTCTGGTTTGTGCACCCATAACGGGATGCTTGACAGAAACTTCCCAATGCACAGTAAATGCAAATGACATGGAGCAAAGGACAGCAGGTTGGAAATTAACCCAGGCCATTGTGCTAGGGACTCCTGCCTTTGTAGATGGGGTGCAAGCTCTATCAAATGTGCTGCCACATCACCCCAGCACAGGCTGTTATTGTTGATGATAGAAGCTCCCATAGTAAAACTTGGTACCATAATCATAATGAGCACTAATTACACATATCCTGCTTCCTTAATTTGATGTGCTTCCTGTTAAATCAAGATATTGGTGGAAGACGTGATGCAGGAAGAGATTATTCAAAAGGATGTGAGTTCAGTAGAAAGATGATGTTTCGTTGGGTAGAACTGAGTGGCAGAATTTGTTGGCATTATTAAATTGGTGATTATTATGGCAATGAAAGGCGCTTAAACTTTTTCATCATGTAATAACCTGAAGTGAACTTTTCCTATACTTCTCTCTCTCTCTCTCTCTGTCGTCTACTCCTCTCCCTCTCTCTCTCTCGGTCTCTGTTGCTCTCCGTCTCTCTCCGGTCTGCAGCAGTCTTTGCCCTTCCGCGTCCCGCCCACTGGCTTCCGCCAGCCCTGGGCCACCCGAAGGAGGAGGTGGAGGTGGAGGAGGAGGTCATGGAGGAGGGCTAGTGGAGCAGCTTAGTAAGACCAACCTGTACATCAGAGGCCTGCCGCCTGCCACCACTGACCAGGACCTCATCAAACTCTGCCAGCCGTGAGTTCTGTTCAACTTATCTGACCCCGTCCTCGCTCTGCAGATGCATCCTTGAGTTCAGTTCCCCAGTTCTCCTGCTCTGTTCATTTCAGCTTGTGGTAATTAGTTTTGTGTGAGTACAACAGCAGCTTATAATGAGTATCAACAGTTTGCTGTTGACCTCTCTGTCCCTCCCCTGTGCTTCCTCAGAGGAAAAAACACAACCCAGCTGGGCCTAACCCATCCGCTCACTTCTGTACTGGTCATCTACACACACATACACACACACACACACACATACGCTGCACAAGGACAAACACGCATATATCCTTCCACCCGTCTCGACAGAAGATGTAAACCCCTCAAACAGATATGTCAACAGTTTGAGAAACTTCTTATTGAAAATATTACAGATAAACTCCACTAATTCCATGATCATAATAGTAAAATTAGGCGGAATAGGGATGTAATTGCACTTTAGTTAATGGTTTATTTTAACTCCTTGTACATTCATTTTCACACACAGTTCATGTAAATGTCCCTTTGCTCTCTATCAAAACATTTCAAACATTGTTTTTTAATTAATTAATTTTTAACCTTTTTTAAGCAACCCCACAACATTTCCTCAGCAGCTGTTCTGGAGCCTTCCATCGTTTCCATCCATTTCTACTAACAACTTCAGTAACAATGGTCCTTTTCCACTAACATGCCAATATGACACTAGAAGACAGCTTACCCGTACAGCAATATAGCTGAGTATATCTTTTCTTCTTGGTGGTTCTGTTGGTGAATGATGTGGTTGTGGTTAGTGCTTAACTTCAGCTATTTGGCACCTGTCATCCTATCTTTCTTGCTAAAATCCAATCCTGCAAATTCTTTTCACAATCGTCCCCATGTGGGCAAACAGAGTCAACACAGAATGTAATGCAAACGATAAAGCAGCTCTCTCAGAGAGGGTCTTGTTTGCCTACAGCTATTACCTGATATTATCAAATGTAATTGGAGAATGATATATTAAGCTATATATTCAGCAGGTAAGGACTTTAAATGATGTCATAAACATTTCTAATTGATCTAATGGATTTTGGAGTAAAGAAAAAGACGGATAAAAAATAACACACACACACACACTCACCATACCTTGCCCTTCTGCGTGTCAGCTGTAGTTCAAGCCTGTTGTATTTCAGCTTAGCCCTGGAGGCGTTCTGGAGAAACAGGGTGAAAAATGGGGGCCAATAAAAGTTTCATTAGAGGCCCAGTCAGTGTGCCAAGTGGCCAGTAACATTTAGGAAAGGTCAGTGGGAGAAGGGGGCCTGTGTGTGCTTGTTGGGCTGCAGTCTTAGCCTTAGGTTTCCAAATCTCTCCGGCTTTCGGAAATAGACTGAGTGGCAGTTTCCTGTCACTCACTGACATGACATGCACGCATGCGCGCACACAGACGCACACAAACAGGCATTTCATTCATGCACACAGTTACGTTGAATAACAGAAGGACAGTCCCTTGACACTGACTAACACACACACACACACACACACGCACTTTCAAATCAATGTCATCCTCATCCTTATTGTTACCATGCATGGATTTTTTTTGTGTAACAACCCGCCCACCAGCACCATCCTCTCCCTTCCTATTCTGTCATCCTCCTCACCCCCTCCTTTCCCCCCTGTCTCTGTGCCAGTTCTCAGAGTGTCAGTGAAAAGTGCTGTTGTCAGCTGACATTTCCAATCACTCCCCCGGTCGCCCAAACTATGGACACACTTTTAACGTCTGGGGACAGAGCAGAACGTGACCGGAATCTAAAGCAGAGCACAAGGGCAATTTTTCTCTCGCTCGCTTGCTTTCCCTCTCACTTGTTGTATTTCTGTCTCTCTCTCTCACGTTTTCCACCAATTCACTACACTTATCTATCTATCTGTCTATCTGCTAGCCTCTACTTCATGATGGAGGGGTTGCATGAGGACAGACGAGCTTTAACCACTCAAAGCCACTCAACCACTTCTGAGAAATCACCGAAAAAGAATATAAAACACTGAATGAGTTCACTATCTCTCGTTAATCAGCAGCAGCTCAGTTAGAAAAAACTGAAATCTTGCTCTAAAATTGTAGAATGGCTCATGGAAACTTGAAAAGCTTTGCACGAATGTGCTTGATGTTTTGGAGCAGTTGATTGATATGAAACCTGAACCTAAGAAATATCTCATCGTCTTGAAATTTATTATCTAATATTTCAAGGACAGATTCCATCTTTAATTATCTTACTGTTTAATGAGAAAATCTCTGTGGACAAGAATTCATTTTTTTTTTACATTTTTCTTTAAATTGTTTAATAGGAGCAGTAATATTGTTGGTAGGTGTCCATTTTGTCTATAGAAATTCTATGGATTGGGCGCCCGGTTAGCTCAGTNNTGTACGGAGTTGCTGCAGCGGCCGAGGGCTCGAATCTGACCTGCGGCCCTTTGCTGCGCATCATCCCCTCTCTCTCTACACACTTTTCCTGTCTATCTTCGGCTGTCACTATCAAATAAAGGCAATAAAAGGCCAAAAAATAACTTTAAAAAAAAGAATTTCTGTGGATTGAAACACTGGTATATTCTTACCCACAATGATAGTTTCATTTATTGACATCCGTTGGCAAAAATGGGAGGATGATAAAAGTAAGATAAAAAATAAGAAAATGTACAACTACTGTAAACAGTGTAGAATGGCACTGTAGTACTGTGCTTACCAATGGGTCTTATTATTCTAGCTTTGAATAATTAGAATGTCGACAAAACTGTTTTTTTGTTGTTTTTTTAACTTTGGAACAGTGACAAAATAATCTCACCTCAATGTCTATTTGGTAGCTGTTGTGAAGCTTTTGATCATATCACAAGATCAGAAAAAAGTATTTTTTGGCGAAGGGGAACATATGATTTTGTTTTAAATGAAACATTTCGCTTATTCTGGCAGATTAGACCTCTGCTCATGTTGTAGGTGGACTAACCTATCCTGGGAATTACATACCCGTCACCCATCTCCATGCACCAATAAGAATTATAAAAGTGTAATTTGTCCCACCTTGGCTGTTGCAACAAAACAAACTATAGAGTAAGGCACATGTTGATCACCCACAATTGGCACACACGCACACACAGCCCTGAGAAGAGCTCTAATCAGTCAGAACAAGTGAAATCACCAGTGTAGGTACCACAAGTGTTCATTATTGATCTTCACTATGTAACACGAGCATTAGGTTAGAATTTTCTCTCTCTACTCTACTTTTTCGATCTTAAGAAATATACCCCGCAAGATTTAAAAAATAAAGCAGCCAGTATACTCCATTTGATATACTTGTAGGATGGCCTAATAGCTTCAGAAACCTCTTTCCCCAGCTCCTTTTTTTTACGTCAGAATTGGGGCTGAGTCCAACAATTTCTTTAAATTCCTAAAACCAATGATCCAACATTCACACCCCCTTCATGCAGTGATTGAACCTCTCTCTCTAGCTCTTTTTTTTTTACCCGTAACACACCTATTTCTGTAACTTTTTGTATTTACAACTGAATGCAACACTATGAATGCCTTGCAGGAGAGATTATCGGAAAGTGTGTCCCGTGTTCCCCATTTGAACTATCACAGAGTGTTGCCCTTCTCTATGACGCAATCGAGCGTGGCGGTAGGCTATAAACACTGTTGCCTTGAAGTGATCAGACAACAAGCTGTACAAACTTGTTCTTTTCTAACATAATGCCACCCTTAGGGTTAAAAGTCATGTTCTTTTGTCACACGTAGTTTCACTGAAATTATATTGCTAAAAAGATCCTATAATTAGGAACTTAAATGGAGAAGGTATTGAGCTCCGTGAAGAGTTATGGCCAGGGACGTAGTGGAGATTAAACTCATCGAAACTCAATTTATCACCATTGTATCTGAAATAGAGTGATACCCGGGTATTTGGTCTGACATAAATCTTAGTCCCATACTATTATCAGATGAAAGGAAAATAAGCTCCTCTTAAGTCCCATGGGATTTCACTTGTTGGAGGGAAACCACGAAGAAGAATTTGCTGGGGCAGGAAGTGCTTAAAATCGGAGACTAGTGTGTGAAACATGGACATTTTTGAGGGGGAAATAAACTTTTTCGTCGCCGAAAAGCCATTATCTCTGTGATCGATCGTTTCTGGCTTTCGTGAACGCAGCGGTGCGAAAAAACAGGTAGCGACAGTACAGTTTTGTATGCGTTTCTGCCAACAATCGTATGAGTTGAAAAGCCATGTTGTTGTACACGTAAGGGCCCTGACATGTGCACAACATTTTAATTACATTTTGGTTTTAAGAGGAGCAAAAGCACTAGGAGATGCCCCCAAGAAGTGTATTATAACTAACTGGGAGCTCTGGCCATTAGCTGCAGGATCTCCAGTTTGCTAGAACCAATTCTGGTCGTTATATTTCCTATCGACAGTACTCGGGGACTTCTAGTGATCAAGACTAGGGTATAAATCAGTTCCCCTTTAATGGCTGGACCAATGAGCTGTGTTACAGACATGCTGCAATAGAGATAAGACATGCAAAGCTGTTCTTTCACACTGAACTGACATTAGGTCTTCTCTTTCACTATCTAAGCTCTCTTCTTCTCAGCTCTTCTCAACCTTTTTCACTTTTAGACCTTCACGCTAATATAGATTTTAAAATGAATATTCTGTGAAACATACAACTGCAATGCTTAGCCTGCAATGCACTGAACATCAGTCCATCCTACATGTGAAGGGTCTGAGTGTGTGTGTGTGTGTGTATATGAGTGAAAATATCATGATAGCGGTCCATTGCCTACCACAGAGTGATGAGCAAAGCTTTCAAGGGGCATTTCATGAGGATTGAAACACCAAATGGTTTTGTTGAACGGCCAGAAAATACCCGTTGTCATTTTGGTGTCCAGAAAGCAATCCACTGTCAGAGAAGACGCAGTGGAGGGCTCTCTTACATGCTCCTCTTGGTGCTTAAAGACCTCTTTAACTCTTTTATAGATAAAAACACATTTT